CCTCGAACAATACTTACACATCTCTAATGTACATTGCCGGGAGTGTCTCGTGCAGTTTTTGTCGATTCAGAAAAACTGACCACTCGGGTTGTGGATCCAACTTATGACTTCTTTCGCAACTGTGTACATAAGTTATTCTCCTGCGCATCGGCCGAATGTTTCATCATCGTCCACTTAAGTAACGTTAGTATATATGTTCACTAAGCTGCGAGGGGAGCGTTAATACGTGCCTGCTAAACCAAATGAATTTCGTTGTTAATCGACCAAACTGACGTCGTAATCTTCCGAGGGATTACGCGAGTGGTACGTCGGTGGCTTAAGAAATTGATGCTTGAGCACTAATTTGAGTATTAATAATATCTGTCATTTCATCCGTTACTATTTGCTTACAATAACGTATAAATTTAACGGCTAAATGACGTCATCCTGGGCACGCAGACTTTCATAAATGCGCTAAAATGACAGATCTATATGGAGCGCACATAATAATGAATACTCGAACAATTGACCTTCAAATACGCTTTTGTCCTTGAAAAGTGAATATGTAGATACATGTGCACTAAATAGAAAACCATATTTTTCTCTTTCAATTGGTTTTAAATCACGTTGAGGCAATAAAGGTCGCCAACATATCTTACTAGTATTTACAGCGTAGCAAAGCAAATGCCAACCTAAAACATTATAAAAATTAAACATCACCAACAAAATATTTCAAATATTTCATTTCTTTCACTGTCTTTTTTTTTTGGCTTATTTAACCGCATAAATATGAATATATCCGGATCGGCAAAATTTGGAACCTAGACTTAAATAGCGTATTCTGCCTTTATGTGATCTAATAGATCTAATATTTAGCTTTTATTCAATTCTCATTCAATTGATGCGTATTTAATTAGGAAGTCAATTTTTTTTTTTCACATTTTTGATTTGGGGGAGAATATTATGAAGCATGATCGGGTCACTTAAAGTGCTATGCTATATTTATGGTCGGTTAGCTGAATTGACTTTATAAAATTTAAAGGATTTAAGTAAAAAGGTGTTTGACCCAAAGTGATATTTGAAAAAGTTTAGAAAAATTATAAATTTTTCTAAAAAAATAAAAAAAACTGCCCCCTTTTTATAAACTAAACGTTAAAGGGGAATTCTAAAGGTTTTACAGAAAATTTTGTTTTTATTGTAGTTATTTTTTTGTTTATGCGAACTTTAAATTTTTTAAAAAAAAGGAAATTTTGGCTAAATGAAAACTTATTTTGACTATCACCCGTTCACTCATTATTTACACTTGGATGGGCATAATGTCACTTTAAAGGCCCATTAAGACTGAAAAATAAAAACTTTGTCTTTATTTCTCAAATGCTTTTTATTGTTGGTATCGTGTTAAAGTTTCCAAAATATTACCAATAAATATGTCATTTATAAAAATAAACAGAAACTCCTTGAAAAAGATGGTTTTAACCCTTCGAAACGTTGGAGATTGAAAAGTTTGTGTAGTACATAATTATTAACTAACTGTTTCCAGAGTAATTTCAAAATATTACCATTAGTACAGTTATAGTGAATTATTCTCTTTTTGTATGGCAGTAAAAATTCTTATCTTTGTTTATATTTTGCACATTTTTGGACAAATAATTTCACATTTAGCACCACTTTCTAGAGATGATAAATGTTCACCATGCTCTATTTGTTCGTTTGTTTTAACCGATTTTAATAGATTTTGGGTCATATATCGGCGGTGTTACGTCACACTTTGGGGATAAACGAAATTTTGGGTCAAGATCTTGAAATAGACCACAAAGTGCATTGATTTAATACATATTAATACAGTGCAGTGTTACACAACGGTTGATCCGCCTACCCAGCGTTCCTGGATAATTAACCAGTAATTACCAATTTCACCGCCAGTGACCGACTACTAATCCCACACGATTTCTGAATCAGCGATGAGACAAAATAACCATTAGTAAAACTTAGTCGTTTCTGCATCGTGATGTGCCTTTAAGTATGGTATATATATAGTGGTGAATAGCATCGTTCCTTAAATATACCTAAATTTAATCGTGTTTTTGTTAGATATGTAAATTAATTTATAAAATTATACTGGTAAAGAATGTTTTTGTAGCCAGCGGTTAGTGTATACGGTCTCCAATAACATTTATCTTTTATATTTTCAACTAAATAAGGATGTAAAAATCCATACTCGTCTATTCAAACTCAAAATTTATTCATAAATGAAATACTCGGTTAAGACACGCACAATTTAATATGAAAGGAAAAGCTTATATGACAATTTAAATATTATTATATCCATTGGCAACAGTGCTCAAAGGTACAGGAAAAGTGGTTGAAGTAAAATATTTAATTCTAAATTAAGACCTTTTGAAAGTTTCATTTAATATGCTTTAAAGCTTTCTTTTATCCTCCACTGCTGATCAAATGCTCTGTAACTTAAATTGGCTCAAAGAAACTTCACCGAGGTTCACACCCTAAAAACATAGAATTTAAAAATCTTGCACAGATCGACTAAGGCACTTGAAACAAAACCCTATGGAAAAAATTATGATAAACTCAGAATTTAGTAAGAAAAAGTGATACTTAGTGCGATTCTGAGGCCGATTTGAGGTAGTCTTAGTGTAATGCTTTCCCGCCAAGAAAGTTCTTACATCGGCCAATATCGTAAATAAATCGGTCATTTCCGGGACGTTATTTTTCACGATCTTTGATCTACAATAAACACAAAGCATTTCAATATTCTTAAAAAAACAACAAAAAAAACCCCAAAAAAAACAAAGTGTCTTATGAAATTCTTCTCAAATAATTTTGAACCGTTTATAAACGGAATTAAGAACATCGAGTTAAAGGATGGGTATTTGTAAATAATCTAATCAATTCAGAATAACGTTCCGGAAATAACCGATTTGCTACGATTTGTTAGAATTTTTTTGGCGGGAAAGCATTACAGTAAGACTACATTGAACGTTCGCTCAATAGAAATAATTATTTTGGACAAACGGGCAGAACGAATAATCTGAAATATGAGGAGATAGGTTATTGATATAGACCTACATCAAATGGAATAAAAATCTTCAGAAAATATTTCCAGTCCCGTTTTGTCAAATACCTCAATGAAGTCCCTTTAAAATCAAATATTACAATCGTAACACCTCGGCTTTCTCCGACAATTCCGTGAGAATGACTTACTGGTGCCATCCAAGATTCGGGTGAGTTTTAAACACGAGCAACTAAACTTTAAACGAAAATGACGTCTAAACTTACAAAAGCAAATAAATGTCGTTATTAAAACTTTATCGCCATTGAATTTGCTTACAGGAAATTTTTTCGGTTTATCAAATTCAAATAGTTCATTTATTTTACATTTTGGTGTAATTTAAACTACATCGAAGTTATCTAATTGATATGTCCATATATAAGTGCGTGTAAAATTGTTTGTGTTCTTCTCTATTTGTTCTCTTTCTCTTGTGCGTGCGTGCGCGCGTGTGTGTGTATGTGTGTGTGCGAGGTATTGCCCGATTCAATAGATTCAAATATAGGCTTCTATGTACCTTCTATTTGTATACGTCAATAAAATGATTGCCTCAGAAAAAAGTGGGATGAGGGTAGAGGGAGAGATAGTATAATATCTGTGTTTTAATCTGGGTTTCGGCTTAGTGAAACATTATAATTACTGTATTTTATTCATTTTTAAATATTTTGTTAACCTGATTGATTTGTCCTGCTTTGCAACCTCTCGAAAATAAGATAGGGCTACGAAAAATAAGAATTTAATTTCATAGCAAATAAAATTATTAGAATTAAAAAAAACAACAAAAAAAGACTTTTTGTAAAAAGTTAAGTTTGTGCCGAATTACTTCATAATAAAATAGCTTTAATTATTCACCGAGTTACGCCACGGATCTAATGTATACGATTTACGCTTTACACAACGGTGTAAAGGGAGACAACTTATTTAAAGCACATGACAATCGATGAAAATAATATACATGTATTGTATCATAGTTTGGAGACCTTTCTGTTGAAAATGTGTCGGGGTTAAATCGTATACATATACATGCACAGTGCGTTAACTGGAGTGCGGGTATTAGTTACCCGCACTCCAGAGCATGCCCATTGATTGGCTCATTTTTGCTGGGGTTTACATATTGTGACGGCAGAGAAATGGAAAGCGACAGAAATGTCATATTCAGATGTTCGTTCATTGGTTCATTTTTGCCGGGGTTTCATATTGTGACAACAGGGAACGTGCTTTTATGTTTGGCTATGATACAAAAGAGAAAGAACACCAAAACACTCGGCAATCTGATTAATACTCGGGGGCTACGCCCCCTCGTACAAATCAGATAGCCTCGTGTTTCGGTGCTCTTTCTATTACTTATAGCTAGCACGGATTTATATTACAATATAAATCCGTGCTTATAGAGGATGAATACTGAGTTTATTCAATGAGTTGAATAAAATTTTATTGTGCGAACCTCTGGCGAGCAAAATATTATTTTATTCAACGAGTTTAATATATTAGGTAATGAGTCTTCACGAATATAATATTTTATTTATAACATACCCAAAATAAAGACTGTTTAAAGTGCAGAAGAATCAATTAATGTAACGCTAACATTTAGTCTTTACGCTATGTTTTCAAGTACGATATCACGTCAAATATATGCACGGCCGTGCAATACAATTTTTACGGAGTCGCAAAATCGGCACGGGTATGTGATAAACACTAAAATTGAAATAAATCAAAAACTCGATTTTATTTGCGTGCGAAAATACTTTATTTTCGATATCTATTTGCCGACTCATTATTGCATGTAATTCCAGGAAAAAGACTCGAAAGTGTTTAATACAAGTTGCAAGAACTTGTTTCGCATTCGAGCTAAAACTTACCAAATAAATTGACAGTTTTAGCTGCGCACAAACAGTTACTTCATGTACTGATCAGGGGAAGTAACCGCTGCGGGGAGTTTGACAAACGTCGTTATCACATAGATTTCGTTTGCATCTTAGCTACTTCCGGTAAAAAAAACAACAACAACATAGAAAATTACTTCTTTACAAACATGTAAATATACTTAAAGTAAACCTATAAGGGAGGATAATATATCGTGTATTTTTCAATAATTAATTACTGTTGTGAAATTTTGTGCAATGAAAACTATTGCATTAGTATCATAACCAATTTATCATTAAAATATTTTCAGCATATTCGGATATCATGTTTTTCGGATGGCGAACTATCATGGATTTATAAGCAGAAATCAGTAACTCAAATTATTATTATGGTTCATGTAAGGGTTTCTGTGAATGTTAGAAAATTCTGTAAATAATAATTAAGACCTAAATTCTATGTTGTTGCAAAAATAAAATAAATTAAAAAAAGACCATAAATATAATAATTTTATAATATATCATATATGCGGTCCTACTAAACACTGCTAAGGACTGCTAAGGAGCCACAAAGGACTACTAGGGAGGCACAAAGGACCTTAAAATACCTCCTAGGGCATTCTTATAATACATGGTAGTATGTTTAGTAAAAAAAAAATATAATTTTAAGAAAAAATATGATTTTGGTGAAAATGTTATGAGTTGCCCGACCGCTAAGGACTGCTCAGATATAAAAAAGACTGCTAGGGAGGCACAAAGGACCTTAAAATACCTCCTAGGGCATTCTTATAATACAAGGTAGTATGTTTATTGACAAAAAATGTATTATTTTAAGAAAAAATATCATTTTAGTGATAAAATTTATGTTTTTGAAGAGTTGCCGGACCGCTAAGGACTGCTCAGGTGCACTAACAACTGCTAGGGAGGCACAAAGGACCTTAAAATCCCTCCTAGAACATTCTTATAATATATGGTAGTAAGTTAATAGACAAAAATGTATTATTGTAAGGAAAAATATAATTTTAGCGATAGAATTTATGTTTTCGATGAGTTGCAGGACCGCTAAGGTGCACAAAGGACTGCAAGGGAGGCACAAAGGACCTAAAAATATTTCCTAGGGAGGCACAAAGGACCTTAAAATACTGTGAGGACATTCTTATAATACATGGTAGTATGTTTAGTGACAAAAAATGTATAATTTTAAGAAAAAATATAATTTTGGTAATAGAATTTATGCTTTCGATGAGTTGCCGGATCGTTAAGGACTGCTCAGATACACAAAAGACTGCTAGGGAGGCACAAAGGACCTTAAAATACCTCCTAGAACATTCTTATAATATAATTATGGTAGTAAGTTAATAGACAAAAATGTATTATTGTAAGAAAAAATATAATTTTAGTGATAGAATTTATGTTTTCGATGAGTTGCAGGACCGCTAAGGACTGCTAGGGAGGTACAAAGAATCTTAAAATACCTCCTAGGGGCACAAAGGACTGCTAGGGAAGCACAAAGGACATTTATATACCTCCTAGGGCATTCTTATAATATATGGTAGTATGTTTAGTGAGAAAAAATGTATAATTTTAAGAAAAAATATAATTTTGGTGATAGAATTTATGTTTTTTCGATGAGTTGCCAGACCGCTAAGGACTGCTCAGGTACACAAAAGACTACTAGCGAGGCACAAAGGACCTTAAATTACTTCCTAAGGCATTTTTGTGTCGCCTCTACGGAGTAGTGGCGACATATAGGGATCACTTCTCCGTCGTCTGTCTGTCCGTCTGTCCGTCTGTCTGTCTGTCTGTCTGTCCGTCTGTCCGTCCGTCCGTCACAAAACTTGTCCGGACTACCCCTCATAAACTACTGGTGCAATTTCATCCAAACTTTACAGGAATGATCAGTATCAAGTCTAGTTGTGCATATTGTCAGCATTTTCCGGTTCAATGATTTTTGTCAGAGTTATGGCCCTTTAATAATTTTTAATTTTAAAGTTTGTCCGGACTACTTCTCTTATACCACTAATGCAATTTCAATGAAACTTTACAGGATTGATCTGTAGCTCAAGTCCTTGCGCATATTGCAAGGGTTTTCCGGTTGAATGATTTTTGGCCGAGTTATGGCCCTTTGATAAAAAGGTGTTTTTTTCTGTGTGTTGCCAGATACACAATAGCTTGTCCGGACTACTCCTCATAAACTACTGATGCAATTTCATCCAAACTTTACAGGAATGATCAGTACCAAGTGTAGTTGTGCATATTGTCAGCATTTTCCGGTTCAATGATTTTTGTCAGAGTTATGGCCCTTTAATAGTTTTTATTTTTAAAGTTTGTCCGGACTACTTCTCTTATACCACTTATGCAATTTCAATGAAACTTTACAGGATTGATCTGTAGCTCAAGTCCTTGCGCATATTGCACGGGTTTTCCGGTTGAATGATTTTTGGCTGAGTTATGGCCCTTTGATAAAAAGGTGTTTTTTTCTGTGTGTTGCCAGATTTGCAAAAGCTTGTCCGGACTACTCCTCATAAGCTACTGGTGCAATTTTATTCAAACTTTACATGATTGATCAGTACCAAGTCTTGTTGTGCACTGTCCGTCTGTCTGTCCGTCTGTCACAAAATTTGTCCTAACATGAAATTGGCCATTATGAGGCGACACATGTGATTACTGATCGCTCTTGTTATATTATATTGTAGTAAGTTAATAGATAAAAAAATGTATTATTTTAAGAAAAAATATAATTTTCGTGATAGAATTTATGTTTTCGATGAATTGGAGGACAGCAAAGGACTGCTTTGGAGGCACAAATGACCTTAAAATACCTCCTAGGGTCACAAAGGACTGCTAGGGAGGCACAAAGGACATTTATATACCTCATAGGGCATTCTTATAATATTATGGTAGTATGTTTAGTGAGAAAAAATGTGTAATTTTAAGAAAAAAATTAATTTTAGTGATAGAATTTATGTTTTTTCAATGAGTTGCCCGACAGCTAAGGACTGCTCAGGTACACAAAAGACTACTAGCGAGGCACAAAGGACATTTATATACCTCCTAGGGCATTCTTATAATATATAGTAGTATGTTTAGTGACAAAAAATGTATAATTTCAAGAAAAAATATAATTTTGGTGATAGAATTTATGTTTTCGATGAGTTGCAGGACCGCTAAGGAATGTTAGGGAGGCACAAAGGACAACTAGGGAGGCACAAAGGACCTTAAAGTACCTCCTAAAGCATTGTTTTAATACATGTTAGTATGTTTAATGACAAAAAATGTATAATTTCAAGAAAAAATATAATTTTGGTGATAGAATTTATGTTTTTGATGAGTTGCAGGACCGCTAAGGACTGTTAGGGAGGCACAAAGGACCTTAAAATACCTCCTAGGGCAATCTTGTAATATATGGTAGTATGTTTAATGACAAAAAATGTATAATTTTAAGAAAAAATATAATTTTAGTGATAGAATTTATGCTTTTGATGAGTTGCCGGACCGCTATGGACCGCTAGGAAGGCACAAAGGATGTTAAAGGACCTCCAAAGAAATTCTTGTAATATATGGTAGTATGTTTAATGACAAAAAATTTATCACTTTAAGAAAAAATATAATTTTGGTGAATTGTAAATTGAGTTGTGAATTGAGTTTTCTGTATCATCCCTCCCTATCATCAATATTAAATATATATGAGCCGCGTCACAACAAAACCAACATAGTGCATTTGTGACCAGCATGGATTCAGACCAGCCTGCGCATCCTCGCAGTCTGATCAGGATCCATGCTGTTCACTATCAATTTCTCTACTTGTAATAGGCCTAGGGTTTGTAAGCGAACAGCATGGATCCTGATCAGACTGCGCTGATGCGCAGGCTGGTCTGGATCCATGCTGGTCGCAAAGCCATTATGTTGGTTTTGTCATGACGCGGCTCATATGGCGATTACTAAATCTCACAAAGGGAGTTTTATGCTAAATCTCCAAAGCGACTGATATTATTTTTTTCTACGAAAATTATTTACATGAAATAGATTATATGTTACTCTAACCTTCAGTGGACCAACAATTTATCAACATAATACTAAAGCTAAAATGAATTTCGGACAAATATAAATGAAGTGGACAGATGTAACAGAAATGAGCAAATGATTCTTTTTACAATAACACTAAACTTATCTTGTTCTTATGTTGTGTGATATGGAAGTAGTTAGCTTTGCAACTGTACATAGAAATATTTTAACAGAATAATCTTATCAGGATATATATTCACAGAAAACTATTAAAAAAGGATATATAGAATGTTGAAGTGACATTGTGGTTAAAATTAGTCAATTGTTAAAACATAGATTCTTTAAGATCATTCTTTTTACTTCAATAATAAACAAATCATCTATCCCAGCCCCTCATAAAACAGTTGGATACAGACCAATTTCAGCCCCTCATAAAACAGTGGGATATGGATCCTAACTATATACATACAGATGGGGCTGGCACATTATTGGAAGTTAACAAGCTGTATATTGGGATCTGTGTATTGTATATTGGGATGTGTGATATATTACAAACCAGTGGGGGTGCCAATATAGGGTGATATACTTCAAAACAGTGGGAGGGACTTTCTGTTAGAGAATGTCTATTATTAAGTAAGCTGTAGATCAATTAAGTCTAAGGATCTATTGAACATCATTTTTTATTGGCCAAATATATAGTCAATGAAAAAAACAACCCAAAAAACAAATATATTTCACCACCCTGAATAAGCACATTTTCATATCATTTTCATATCACTTGACCAATTTAATTATTATAAGAAATGGAAGAAGATCATAAGAAAAATGATTTTAATATATGGTTATGACCTCAGTAATGAAAAATTATATTTTTTCTTGAAATATACACATTTTCAACATACATGTATATGAAAAAATGTGATTCATAATGATATGTGTTTGTATATATATTCTTTTTATATGTGCTTGTACATTTATATGTAAACTTGAATTTGTTTTGTCAGGATCTGTGTTCAAGTATATAGATGTTTTGATATGTGTTTAAGACTGGCTTTATTATTGATATGTGCTTGTATATAAATATGTGTACTTGCATTTTTGTCAAGGTATGTCTTTGTATATAGATGTTATGATATGTGTTAGAGACCGGCTTCATAAGTGATATGTGCT